CCCCCCCCCCCCCCCCCCCCCCCCCCCCCCCCCCCCCCCCGGGCCCCCCCCCCCCCCCCCCCCCCCCCCGACGCCTCATGTTCGATAGCGCTGCCGGTCGCGATGGGGATGGCAGGTGGGCAGTTTGTTTTTGTCACCTTGTGTGAAGATCTGACCGACGCCACAAAAAGAAAAAGGACATCGATTGGATTTCTAACCATCCGATTGCTCTGATATTTTCATCAATCTATGGCTATGAATATGATTTAACGCATTAGGGAAGATCGAGGAGAGGGAGAGGAAAAGGAATGAAGGTTGATGTTGTGGATGTGAATTTCATTAAAGTCTGAAGTCTGGTGGTACACAAATAGAAAAAAAAAAGAAAAACTCCACGGTGTTCCGTCCGCTTGCTAGCAAATGTTTGTGGTTATACACTATTCCAAAATCTCTAGCCCCTCTATAGATGCGTCGCCGTACTTTTTCTTCACACTAGGGAGAGACCAGTCAACAGGGAGGGCCGGCTCATGGCGAGGGCGGCCGGTCCTGCTGCAGATGCGTATGCTCCGTCGGTGAGCCCATCGGCGACTCCTCACCGTCCGCGAAGGCGGCCGCCGTTGCTGCGGCCTCCCTCAGGTCGCTGTGAGCCGAGAACCGCCGGATGGACCGCGAAGAGCAGTCCGAGTACCGCCTCATGGAGTTCCTGTCGCCGGAGCCGGAGGGTTTCCTCTCGGGTGTGCTGGCGGAGGACGTGATGGGCTGGAGCGGCTCATCCCTGGAACTTGAGGCCGCGGCGGGGGCGGGCGAGTCGTTGCGGAGAGTCATGGCGGACCATCGCTCCAAATTGGGGTTGGGGTTGGCAGGCTTCAGGAGGAACGATCGTCTCTCAAAGGGGCTAGGAGGCTGCTTTACCGGGAATGGAGCTTCGAGGAGCATGGCCTTCTGGGCGTTCCTCTCGTCGGCGTACCGTGATGATGACCTGGAGAAGGATGGTTCCAGCGGCGAGCCCTCGTCGATGTTCTCGAAAGTTGGTGAGGCCTTTGCGGCGCTGAATCCTGAACCGCGCTTTTCACCGGGGTCGCGGATGGGCGGCGGGGGCATAAGCGTCATGGCCGACCATCGCTGAGTATCCCGCTTCTTGTTGAGGCCGGTCTTCTCGTCCGCGGAGTCGTCGCCTCCGGCAGCGTCTCTCAGGGTCATGGCGGAGGACCAGCGCTCGTTGCCTTGTCTGAAGCTCGGCGGGATCATGGGGACGGGTTCGATGGGGTCCTCTTCCATGACGCGCTTGCCCTTTTCGCTAGCGCTGGACGAAGATCCGGCGATGGAGGTGCTGCGGCTGGCCATCCTCTTGAGCTCGTCCTCCTTTCCTGGTATTTCCTTTTCGCTTGCGGACTCTCCCTCCAGTCTGAGGGTGAGGTACGTGACACCAGACGGGTAGTAGCCCTCCTCGATGGCGCGGGTCAGATCGTATTGGGCCTGGTCGCTGATGGAGCGTGTGAGGCGCAGCTTCTTGATGTTCTCGCCGTTAATCGTCTCCTCCCAAGTCCTCTGGAACATGAGCGCAATCTCGTTGATCAGTAAGAGGCCGTAGCAGCCCACGAGGACGGCGAGATCCTGAATCTGGTGAGTGATCGGGTAGTCGGTGCCTGCTCGTCTGGCCTGCGGGCTGTGCTGGCCGGCCTTTTGAATCGTGATGATCTTGATAATCGTGACGGCGACGCTCATGATCCAGAAAATGATGTTGGCCGGCTGCCAATTGCGGATGCGGCCGTTGGCGCCTCGAGTGGCCTGCATGACAGCAGACAGAGCGCAACCTGCAAAAATGAAGGGGAGCAGTCCAATTCCGAAGTTGATCGAAGCCAGCCGTCCAATTTCCATTCCCTCCATGAGGAAGACGACCAGAATGGTGAAGTAGTAGAATGACAGCTGGGCGTGTCTCTGCCATTCGTGCTTAACGTCATACCGCTTGATCTTGTCTACGATGAGAACTGGAACGACAAAGTGGAAGATAGCGAATGTGAGGACAAGACGAATCCACGCTGGCAGAGGAACGATGATGCTGTCGAAGAAGCACGACGACGGCAGAGGGCCGAACTTTGAGTGAGCCGTCTGTGGCAGCGGTCAGGATGAGATGCTCGTTGAGAGGAGGAGATTCGACTTACCAGCCCTTCCGGGCGATTACCACACAACCCCGGCATGATTGCTTCAAGTGAGAGGCAGGGTTTTGGTTGATCACCAGTCAACCTCTCGAGATCGACGGGGAAAAGGGCAAGAGTTCATCTCGAGGGGGCGGCTGCGACGTAACTCTATCTTAATACTATCAATGCCGCCCTGCCGACCACACATCGGAGGTGCGCCCACTTGGCGTGTCTTTGGGCGTCTTTGGGCGGTCCATGTGGTGCTGCCGGGCTGGGGCTCTCTGGGACATGAGAGAGACACGACATGCGGTTGCTGGCTGAGTTCTGCTGTGTGCTCTGGTCTCTACGCTCGGGGCTTGCAGAAAGGGGCGTTTCATTGTTGTGACAGTGGTGACGACGAGAGTATTTCGAGAGCAGTGCTCGTGGTCGAGCGGTCCTGCAGGTCCCCCGTCGGTGGTGATGGCTCATTGGCCGAAAGGGAGAGACAGGACGCGGGTTGCAGTAGTTGTCCGATGGGGGAAGTCCATTCTAGAATTACGATGACCGTTAGCCTCAGAGGTCAATATCTGGATGGCGGGTGCCCGGCAGCGCCGCCAAAAAGGGTTCACAGGTCTGTGTCCGCAGAGTACATGGCGGTCTACCATTCCGCAGATGTAAGTGAAGAAGAGGTGATGCTGACACACGGTCCCTTGCATTGGTTCTTGAATCTTTACCCTCGGGTGTGTATACGAGAAGGGCCGAGCGCTGCTGTTTTAGCCCGAAAGTGTAAGCCGTTAGACCAACGTAGATCCCGCTTAGCCTCACGACGGTGGCGGACACTGGGCAGACGTGCCGGACGTATTTATCAAAGCTGGCGAACCGGGATACGTGCGAATAGGCGGTGTCTTGGTTCTCGCCTTTGCTATTCCAAGGTTCGCGATGTTGCATGATTTGGGTTGCCGAGTGGGTCCACGATTGAGAGACGGATGGTAAACAACAGTAACGAAGACGAACTCTTTCCCCGGGACCGGATCGTCCGATCCGTCTAACCCGATCGCTCGGCTGCTTGAAGTAGCGAAGCCGAAGATTGCGATAGTCCGAATGATGCTATAAATTGCTGCTTGACCGGCTGCCACAGGATGAACTCTCACCGCGTACGGCCCCGAAATCGACCAGAGCCGTGCTGCCCGTGGTCGACCACTTGGTTACCATGGTTTCCTGTGGTCTCTGATCGCCTGATATCCGCGCAGCTCCGTATCGCCAGATCTCTTGTTTCCCTTTTCCTGGCGATGAAGGCGTAGCAGAAGCCTGAGTCGACGGGAGAGGTCGAGTTGGAGACTTCCAAACTCACACCTCACCGCCGTGGATTGCGCGTCTTGCAGGTGGCTGGTGGCTGCTGCTAAATCGCAACGGGCAACCTACCGGCTCAGCTTCCCGTCAGCCACAAAGGAGCAGGATGTGGTCCGAGAGCTCCTGTCAACCACATCGAGAACCGAATCTGACTCGGGCGTGTAAATCGCTTCGGGAGGATGGGGAGGCGTCAACATGACATGTGTTGGCAGTGTTGGACAACGTGGGAATAGCCTCAGCTGGCGGGCTGGAGGTTGAACAGAAAAAGCACAGTATATTGCTGTATGTGGTCGGGCGGTCCGTCTAGAATTGCGCGATGAACCGAGCTATGATGGCCCTCCTGGATGGAGTTCGGAAAACGGCAGCAATGCAGCGGCCAATGGAGATTCGATGGGAATAAGACAGGGTTCATCGAACGGTGGAGAGGTCAAATACGAATTGCGCCTCCGTGAGCCTCTTTTCTTTGCGCTCGCCTCGGCTGTCGGTGCTTGTCTGTTGCATGTGTCAGCCACAGACAGCGGCTTTCTTTCACGTGAGTGTGGTTGCGGCCTGTGAGAAGCTGGCAAGTTGCGGATTATCGTCTACCGAGTAAGCAGCCCGAGGATTCTCGTCGACAAAATAGATGGAGTCGGGGGTGCCGGCGTTGCTGTGAGAGTGGGATATGGTGGTTCTGCTGCGAAAAGAGTCAAAAGTCTGCAGGAGTCAATCAAACAATGACCCTCTGGATATTGGCCATGTGGACCTGGAGTCTTTATCGGGAGTTTGAGCCGCTGGTCGGAATAGGCCCCTGCTGCGATCACTTGCTGGTCGAGGATATCGATTCGAGCCTTTGCTGATCAAGATAATTGATGGATTATGTCATGTGCTACTCCAGGCTGAAGAGTAACGCGCGGACGGAATGCATAATGGAGTGTTGCATTGTTGAGTGAGGTGCTGGGGATAATTCTATGGGCTGTCAGCAGAGAGAACATCCTGAGGCTTGATTGACAAGTTGTTGGGAATGACATAACTGATTCATAGTAAGCTCTTCGGACGGGCATTTGTCGAAATTGTTCTTTTTCATCGATTTTCTGATAGGCAAACGATCTCGCATCGCCTTGGCTCTTGGAAGGAGCTGCCAAGACGACAATGAATGGACCCCATGCCCCTCCATTAGCCCCGTCTTTCCCGCACGCTAGCGGTTGATTTGGGACTCGAGCTTGAGGGGGGCATGGTGCTGACTAGAAGCTGCAGCTGGTGCCAGTAGGAGGAGCAAATTTGGAGCTCTCTCTCGACCACCTGCACTTCTCAACGGCCTCTCAGTAGCTGGGCGACTGGCACTTGATCTCGTGTCGCCGAGGTAAATGTGCAGAGTGCCACCGCCGTACCTTGCATTCGTCGCCCGAGACAGGCAGCTCGCAGGTCTTCCGGGAAGGACAGGTTGTCCAGGTTGGCCACTGTTGAGCTGTAGGTAGGAAGTGGTTGTGCCGCCGGTGTACGCGGCCCCGAGTCTTCCATGGAAAGGGATGCCACCTGATCACTCTGCTCAGAGGTTTCGGGCATATTATGTTGCTGTCAAGCCGGGTTTCCAAGCAATTCCTCAACGCCGTGTCCGTAGGTTCCGTAACGCTGACTTGAACTTGTGCTTGGTTGACGTGTTACGTCGTCAGTCGGCACAGCAAGTAGCTGCAGTCAAGGCAATCGCTTTGCGCCTCATCGAGGATCCGTACTTGCCAGGCAAGCTGTTTCGCTGTTGCATGCAGAGCTCCGGCGCGTTCCCTGTCGTCGGAGCATGGATAGGTTGGCTAGAACTGGCCAACTGGAAGGGAAGGGTTGGGTTGGAGAAGACGGATGGTGTTGAATTCTTGGAGGCACCGCGGCACCAAGAGCTCCCGTCAGTGAGGGGAGCATCACTAAAGATACGTACCAGCCCTTTCAACCCCGGCACTGCAACAGGGAGCTCCAGCTGCACTGCTGCGTACCTATCGGCCAGTGGCGGATCTCCCTCTTCCCTAGCTTTCCACAGCATTGTGACGCAATTAAAGTCCCGTTGCCCTTTTTTCGCGACTGCTTAAACTGCACTTGTTCCTGCCCGCCTCAGCCAGCTGGACAACCCCAACAACTCGGCATCTTGAAGCGGCGACGACCTGGCCACGACGCCGACAAAGCCACCTAAAGCCACGACAAACCTACATCCTAACATTCATACTTCAGCCTCACTCAACCTGGTCACTTCTCTGCCATTCCAGCCTGGCATTCCCCAACCACTCGGAACCTAGCGTCCTACCCCAGATTTCCTCCTCCTCCTCCCTCCCTCAAGGCCCTCGACTTGACTCCCTTTGCTTCGGTCTGACCGTCGTCCCGTCCTCCGTCTCCCTCGTTATCCCGTCCGCCGTACTCGTAACCTACTGTCTCCGAACACCTCGAAATCTCCCACCATTCCGTCCATCACCGCTGCCGTCCTCGTCGTTTTCGCCGCCGTCGCTTCTTTCTATATCCTTAAATCACCGAATTCAACAACACCAGCAACATCCTCGACAACCGCAAACATGTCGTGGACTCAGGGTATCGCGCCCTTGTACCAGGTGCACAAGCCTCCCTTCACCGTCGAGGCTCCCGGGTACGAGCGCGTCGAGGGCGAGACCCTCCCGCGCCGTCACTGGAAGGCCAAGAACGGGCTCAGGACCCAACCGCACCCTGATATCCACACCATGTACGACATCATCAAGCGAAGCGCCAACGTATACGCAGACGAGCCCGCCGTCGGCACTCGTAAGCTCGTGCACCTGCACAAGGAGAAGAAGAAGGTCCCCAAGAACGTCGATGGAGAGATCAGGCAGGTCGAGAAGGAGTGGCAGTTTTTCGAGCTGTCTAAATACTCCTACATGACCTACGCCGAGTTCCAGACATACATCTTGCAGCTTGGCTCGGGATTGCGAAAGTTGGGCCTGAGCAAAGGCAGCAGACTCCATCTGTTTGCTACTACATCGTACGTCCGAGAGTCCCCGTTTCCAACGTCCCGCCGTCCTGCGGGCTTGAGCACGCTCCCTGAGCAACCGTCACGTCGAGAAGAAGCTAACCCGCCGTCCCGGTAACTTAGCGCGAACTGGATGGCAATGTCCCACGCATGTGGTTCGCAGTCCATGTCCATCGTTACCGCATACGACACTCTCGGCGCAAGCGGTGTCGAGCATTCGCTCCTCGAGTCCAGTGCCGATGCCATGTATATCGACCCCCACCTGCTCAAGACTGCAAGCGGGGGTCTCAAGAAGTCCGAAAACCTCAAGTTCGTCATCTACAATGACAACTGCATATTCACCCAGGGTTCCGAGGTGGAGGACTTCAAGAAGGCCAATCCTGATATCAAGATTCTGAGTATCGAGGAGGTCCGCCAGCTGGGCGAAGACAACCCCGTGGAGCTCGTAGAGGCCCAGCCCAATGATCTCTTTTGCATCATGTACACGTCTGGCTCGACCGGTACGCCGAAAGGTGTCCCAATGACCCATGAGGGCATGGTTGCAGCGAGTGAGTCCATTACATGCGGTGACAGTAGAATAGTTGCTAATCAGGCCCAGTTACTGGTCTATACACCTGTGTCGAAGAGTCCGTCAGCAGCAACGAGTTCGTCTTGGCTTACTTGCCCCTGGCCCATATCTTCGAGCTCGTCCTCGAGAACCTCGTCCTGTTCGCCGGTGCCACCCTCGGCTACGGCAACCCGCGCACCCTGTCCGACACGTCAATGAAGAACTCTGCTGGTGACATGCGTGAGTTCCGCCCAACGGCTCTCGTTGGTGTGCCCCAGGTCTGGGAGACTGTCAAGAAGGGTGTCATTGCGAAGGTTAACAGCTCGGGCATGCTCATCAAGTCCCTGTTTTGGGGCGCCTTCAACTACAAGAGCTTCATGGTCAAGTATGGTTTGCCGTTTGCGACAATCTTTGACAACATTGTCTTCAAGAAAGTGCGCGACCTCACGGGCGGACGTCTTCGCTTCACTATGAACGGTGCGAGCGGCATCTCGGACGGGACCAAGCACTTCCTTTCCATGGTCGTCGCGCCCATGCTTACGGGTTACGGTCTGACGGAAACGGCCGCCAACGGCGCTCTCGGCGACCCGCTCGAGTACACATCCACTGCTATCGGTCCCGTCCCTGCCGCTGTCGACGTCAAGCTTGTGTCCATTCCGGATCTTGGCTACTTCACCGACTCGAACCCGCCCCAGGGCGAGATCTTGGTTAAGGGCCCCGCTGTGCTGAAGGAATACTACAAGAACCCCGAAGAGACCAAGAAGGCGATTACCGAGGATGGCTGGTTCAAGACGGGCGATATCGGCGAGTTCGACGCCGTCGGCCACTTGAAGGTCATCGACCGTGTCAAGAACCTCGTCAAGATGCAGGGTGGAGAGTATATCGCCCTCGAGAAGCTCGAATCCGTCTACCGCGGCAGCCACTTCGTCCAGAACATCATGGTCTACGGCGACGGCGAGCACTCCCGCGCCATTGCCGTCATCGCTCCCAACGAAAAGGTCCTGGCCGAGGAGGCGCAGAAGCTGGGCGTGGATGAGCATGACATGCACACCAACCAGAAGGTCGTCGACGCCGTGCTTAAGGATCTCGTCGGCGCCGGCCGAAAGGCTGGTTTGAGCGGACTGGAGATTGTTGGCGGTGTTGTCCTGGTCGAGGAGGAGTGGACTCCCGATAGCGTAAGTTCATCCAGCATTACAATCTCTTACTCATCAAGCTAACGCATGCCCAGGGTCTCGTCACCGCCACTCAGAAGCTCAACAGGAGAGTCATCAAGGACAAGTACAAGAAGCGTATGGAGGATGCTTTCCCCAAGAACTAAGCCGCCAACGTCGAGGCGTACTCAATTTTCCCACATGTTCGGCTGGAGTAATAGTCACGGAGGGACGGGAGCGGGGATAAGGGCGGGGATTCATTCAAAGCCTGTGTTGAATTTGCGCAATATGTAACACTACCACCCATCTTTTCATCTATGGAAGGAAACTGAAAAGGTTCAATCTCGAATGATGCCCTTGAGATACGTGACGACCATCATAGAACAACTTTCTGAGCGTCCAGCGACCCCACTGATGATGTACATGAACAAATATTGAAGCGGACCATCTACACCCACGTCAGCGACAAGACGGAACAGTCAGTAAAGTATTCGGTAGGAGAGAGGGTCTGATGCCACCCCGTAAATTGAGTCGGGTTCGACTTTCACCGGAACCTCATGGGACCGTCACGGGGTATCTTATCTGTACATTTCGACAGTTCGGTCCCGGAGCCCCCGCTCGCTCTGGAGAGTGAAGACAAGCCGCCGCTCCGAGCAGGAGTCAATATTGTAGGTAAACCTGCGTGAGTTATCAACACGTCGTGCCGTTCTTGTGAGCTGATCGAGAGGGGGGGGGGATTATAGAGGTTGGTAAATGAATGCCCTGACACTCCGGTCCAAGAAAGACAGTGTCATGCGTGAGATCTAAACGGGAAAACACTGGAAATTCTCGTCGACGGTCATGTTACTTCATTCACTTCGGGATCTAACCACGCCCTTGGGGCGAGATCAAGGTTATGTTAACATACACCTCTTACTCAGATAGCGAATCCGGCTCGTCAGTTCCTTCTTCTCCCGCTCCCACACTTCAGCAGAAACTCCTTGAAGCAAATAGGGAGAGAACCACCAGGGCTCAGCGATAGCTAAAACCTCCAGAGAGCTTTCCATGTGATGGTCGAATCTCGGTGGAGTATAACAAGTCCGGGAGGGGAAGCAGTACCACAAAGTAGGAAACAACAGAGAGCCAAGTCTTGAAAAAGGGTATTATGACTTTCTTGAGCCCTCGCCGGGTCTTGGTAGTCTTACATTAACAAGCGGTCTTCTCTGCGGACTGCGCTGTGCCGAAGACGTGATGTGTGGCGAAGAGATAGACGACAGACACCATCTCGTACCAGTGACAGATTATACTGCCATATCACAGCAGCATATACATCCACCAGCGTGGGACAAAACGCTTTTAACTTTGCTCGGCTTACTCAGCCTGAATGGGTCATTCCTCTACCTAGTCGATCCTCTCTAGACCGGAACCGTTGCACTACCGACTTCCCTGGTAGCCCTTCCTCTCGTACATGACCAGTAGAGAACGCCCCCGTAGGGCAAGAGACATATGGGACCGGAATGGAAATAAAAGGCCGTAAAGGTCGGCCTCTCGTATCTGTCCAGCAACGTCTCGTCTGAAAATCGATCCTTTTTTCTTTTCGGATATTCCCTTCCGTACACAGCAGAAAAAAATCCCCTCGACAGGTTTAGAAGGGGTTTGCCTGTCTGCCCCGACAAAATTGAGTTGGCCGCCCATGCCCGCTGGCCAAATCAGATCATGCGATTCATCGTCTCATCTCCTCTCTTAGCGACCGACTTCCATGGTGACAAATGCCACCAGCCTCGGGATAACACAATTGGTCCAAAGTGGATGTCTCGATCCAATGAGAAGAGAGGTTGCCCATATACAACCAAAAGCCTGGCATTGAGGCTGGCGAGCCCAGGATTGTGGCCGCCTCTATGTAGTGTGTAACAGAAAAAGCTGTGAGTAAAAAGACTTTGCTTGGTCGCCAACAAGTGCAGATGCTGGATGGTGTGCGCGCAGAAGTCGTCGAGAAGGAAAAAAAGAAAGGCCAGAGAGTCCATGCCAAAACAGGTCAGGTATCCTCTGACGTGGTATCTTGAAAGCAAGTAGAGTTATGATTGGGGCTGAAAGTTGCTAGCCATGGCGCGCTCATGCACAGGTTGGGTCAAAGACGATGACCAGGGTGTTGTGAGCAGATGGAAGGCATCGAGTCGATTATGCCAAGGCCAACAAAAACTTCCTGGGGTATCTCAATGCACAGGTAAGGGCAGCCCCTTTGTGGAGGCCTGTTGTTGTCGTCAAGGTCGTGATTAATGTCGATGAGCCAACCGCCGAAAGATGTTTTTGGACGCACGGCTGAAGGAGTCCTACTGTCCCTTCCTAGCCTTTTCTGCAATGCGTGCCTCTCTAGCGGCTCGGACCAATGGCGCAAGTTGGCCCAGGTCAACACAGCCCTTCATGAACTCGTGCTGCAAGGAAATCAGTATATATGCAGCCATGTATTGGGAGTCAAACTCACTCTCAGAAGGTCGTGTGCACTTGCTCTCTTCTCGGGATCAACCTTGAGGGCGAAGTAGAGGAAGTCGCGGAAGACTGGTGACAGGTTTGCCTCCTCCTTGATCTGAGGGGTGCCGTTGGTAGCGATCAACCACAACGCTCTCAGAGGAGACTCTGTCAGGTACGGTGGCTCTCCCTCGATCATCTCAATGGCCATGATGCCCAATGACCAGATGTCGACCTTGCGTCCATACTCCTTACGTGTGACGACTTCAGGGGCCATCCAATAGGGCGTGCCAACCATAGTGGTGCGCTTATTTTGGGCCTCGTTGATTGTCGCGCAAAAGCCAAAGTCGGCTGTATCAAGTCAGTATTTCATGTTGCTGGAATTGATAAGCGTCGAAAACTTACTCAGCTTGATGCTTCCTTCCATCGACAGGAGGATGTTGTCGGACTTGATATCACGGTGAATCACTCCCTTAGAGTGCAGGTGCTGCAAGCCCTTCAGCGTCTCTCTGCAGACGGAAGCGATCTGTCCCTCGGTCATGATGTTGAAGGTGACAACATCAGTGAGACTGCCACCCTCCATGTACTCCATGACAACCCAGAGTTCGCCTCCGCAAAGGTAGCTGTCGATGAAGTTGACGATGTTGGGGTGCGAGCTGTCCTTCATGACCAGAATTTCGTTGATGATCAAGTCCTTCTTCGGTTGCTGCTCCAGGTTCATCTGCTTGATGGCAACAAGCCTGTTGGATCCTCGCTCGTATCCAGTGAAGACGCCACCAGAAGCGCCCTGTCCAATCTTATTGAAGTTCCTGTATACCTCGCGAGGATCGCCTTCGGAGCAGATGCGCTTGAGCGCGGCCACGACGTCGATTCCGGTGCTTTGCCTGGCGCGGTGGCGGGGTCTGGAGCCAGGCTGACCAGCGACACCGACCTGCTGCCGTTGACCGGGGCCGCCGTTCGCCGGGGCACCTTGCGGGTATTGGTGCTGCGACTGCGGGGGAGTCTGCTGCTGGGGCTGTCTCTTGCTCGGGGCACGGCTGACCTGGCCCGACATGGCGGCCTGGGCCTGAGCCAGAGCCTGCTCCTGTTGCTGCTGCATGAGTTGCTGCTGGTAAACGTTCGCCTGCGCATTCTGGGGGTTGGGTGTGGGGGGGACGTAGCCGGGGGCGGCGCCGTTGACACGCGAGTTGGATCGGGATCGGGATCGGTGCTCTCCGCGGTGCTCCTCGGGGAGCATGGGGACGGTCTCCTTGGGCGGTTGGTATGCGACCGGGGGCAGGTCCTCGCCGGGCTGAGACATTCCAATGCCGGAGTCCTTGGCGGGGTAGGGCGCGGGAGCAGCAGACCTCGGGGTGCCGGCGACGGGGGGCTTCGGGGCCGGGCGGCTGGGCATCAGGTTCACATCCTTGCCTTGGCCTTTGGAGCCTCCGATTCCGGGAACGGGGGGCGGCTGGCGGGGGTTCTCAAAAGATCCTTCATGATTGACAGTTGGAAACCTAGGGCTCGCAGGTGGACTAATCATCGGAGACATACCCATATAAGCTGTTGGCGGATACATGCCCGGCGACATGGCACCCGACGGCGAGTTGTTTGCATTCGCATATTGGCGGTAATCAGGCGCTCTGGCATCGTGGAACTTTTCCAAAACCTGATCCTCGGCTGGCTTCTCGGTCGTTTCCTTGTAGAATGTGATGATGTCAACCATAGTTTGGGGGTTCTCCCTGCGTTCCTTCTCGGGAATTCCACTTTCGTTGATCAATCTCTGCCATTCTTTCGGAAGACCCTGGACAATCGCACGTCAGCCACACTAGACTTGGGACAAAAGAAAGGCGGCAGAGAACGGGATTGAGAAACGGAATTGAGGCCAAAAAATCATGTCAAGCAATCGAGACCGACGACGACGGGGGCGGGGGCGAGGGCGGGGACGACTGACGGTGAACTGGCCGGTAGAGCTGTCGTAGCCGACGTGGGTGACGTGAACGGGGTTCTCAGGTGCCGAGATGACGGGCTTCTTGGGTGTGCCGACCAGACTGTTCATGAAGCCGGAGAAGCCCGACTTCTTGCGCAGGACGCCCATCCTGGGCTCCTTGGCCTCGTCCGAGTATCTCTTGGGGCTGATCATTGAGCTCTCCGTCACCCGACCTTGTGATTTTTCGTTCATCATGGCGAAATCGTTCGTGAAGCTCTGGGACTGTCGCAACCTAGGGCTTTTGCTTATGCGCGTATCGGTGGCCGACTTAAGCAAGGGCGTTGGGGCGTTGGGGCGGTGGTAGGCGACACCTTGCTGGCCGTGAGATTGCTGCAGAGACAGCGGAGGGTGAGTTGCGGCAACGGGCGACTTTGTCTGCTCGATACGGTTCAGGACCGCGGCGCCGTCGAAGGGAGCGCCGATGAATTCGTCGTGGGGTTGGGACGAGAGCGGCGCGACGGGATCGGCTGGAGAGTCACTTGTGTGAGCGATACCGATTCCAACACCAACACCAATACCGACGGGGCTGCTGGTGTTGTGAGGGTTGTTGTTCTGGAAATGGAGGGTGTTTTGGAGTTGAGGAGGGAAGGCGGCGTGGTGGTAGGTGGAGGGCTGGGATTGAGACTGAATCGGGGGGTTGTGATTCTGGTTCTGGGTTTGGTGGTAGGCGACGGCGTGGTGGGCGTTGGCGTTGGCGTTGGCGCTTGTGTGGGCGTGAGGATGAGGGTGAGGGTGAGAGTGGGCGTGAGCGAGACTTGGGGAAGGAGCGACGGCGGCGAACTGACCCTGAGGCAGGATGGGGGAGGGATTGGGAAGGTGCGTCTGACTTGAGGGGAGGTGACGGGGAGAACTGTGAGCAGAAGCACCAGCACCAGCACCTCCAAGTCCTGGTCCAGGTCCAGGTCCAGGTAAAGCGTTTGAGGGGGTCGTTCGCGCAGGTGGAGCGGAAGGAGCGCGCCTCAGACTTGTCGAGCTGCGTTTGCTCTGGAGAGATTGGGCGTCGATGCCACCATCGAGACCGCTCGAGGAGCGGGTATGGTAATGGGAAGGAGGCTTCTTGGTGAGCTTGCGACGTTGCGAGGTGCCGTTGGAAGTAGATGTGCTCTGGCTGCTATCCATGATACGCCCTAAAAAGTCTAAAACGAGATGGGAAGAAAGGGAAAAAGGGAAGGGGAAGGGTTAACCGTACGGTAGTGCAATGTAAAGAGGGTATGAATAGAGGGTGTGCGAGGAGGAAAAAAAATAAAATAAAAAAATCGGTACGGTAAGGTGTACGGGATACAGAGTAGTGGTAGCAGAGTAGTAGGAGGATGTACGGTATTCGTGTGTGTACAGTAAGGCGATTAGGTACGGGCACAATGCGATGATGGGATGGATTGCTGAGAGACGAATCCCCGTCCCCTTGGATTGTGCCTTGAGCCTTGAGCCTTTGTGCTTTTGGGTTGTGTACGGAGTAGTGTAGTAGTAGTATGTACGGTAGAATTGTGCTTGGAGAAAAGGCGTGTTTTCCCAAGCTATCCGTCGTGGTCGAAGCAGCACAAACAACAGCGGCAGCGGCAGCGAGCGGCAATCAGTCCAAGCACGAGCAGTCCCTCGTCGTTCGAGAGAGCCCAGAAATCAGAATAAAAGGGTCGGAGGCGCTGGCGTTGACGCTGGGTCGCAGCAAGCTGTGCAGACCGGGGCAGACTAGTGTAGCGTGTACTATGAAGACTGCAGACTGCAGACTGCAGAGTACCGGGCCACGGAGGCACTGATTGATGGACCCGGGTCGCTGTCGCTGTGACGCTGACTGTCACTGGCGGGATGGAGACCAAGTGGGTTCCGGACTGCCTGCGGCTGTGGGTTCTCTGCTTCGTTGTTGTTGTTGTTCGTTGTTGTGTTGTTGTGCGGTGCAGCCCGGACGGGGATGTCTCTGGACCTCTCCAGCCGGCTGTCTGGCGGGTGGATTGCCGGTACCTACGGGTATCTTTTGACGATACGGCGCTGGTGGAGGTACATGTCCATGTACCCAGGGTATCCTGAGAGACCGTAGGAAAGACTCGAAAGATCGGGTTCAGCGAGCAGATTGGTACGGATGGCGGGTTGTCTCTGCTCCAGAAAAGATACCAGGTCGGCGCAGTTGAGGATCGAGGATCAAGTGTGTGGGTGTGGTTGTCTCTTTCTCCAGCCTGTCGTCCTTGCCTCAGCGACGTGCTCTCTTGCAAGAAAAACACACACACAAAAAGTGGGGAGCGGGGAGTGGGCAGCACCACGACATCACACACTCACTGATTGAACACAATGTGAACTGACCTGGAACTGGGCGTGAGGAGAGGACCTGATGAATGGACGGGAGAGACTGGGCTAACCTAACGTTCCAACTTAGGTAAGGTAGCCTGGGGGCCGTGGACGTGTGGCCGTGGGATGTGGTGTGGTGTTGTGTGGTGTGGTGGGGAGGTGGAGGTTCATGTCGACATAAAGAAAGGTACGTACCACCCAGCTCGCAATTGCCCCGAGAATGAAGCGTCTCCTCTTTTATTTATTTTAAATTTTTACTTTTTTTCCCCTCGTGCTTATGAGATGACAGAGCTGTGGTTGGCTGTTAATTGCTAAGGTAGGCACCCAAAACAGTGCGTCGCACTTTCATATCAACATCAAGAATTTCCATGAGAGAGCAAGCATTCCAAGACACATGAAGTCAAGGCAAGACTCAGTAGACCAACGCGAAGGGGAAAACATGTCCGAGGCGCAAGACGAGTCGAGTTGCTCCCAGATAGTTGGACTTCTTACTGGTCGCCTGCCGAATGTGCATTGCCAAAGAAGAAATCATGGACTGCCAGCTCCATCGACTGCAACATGCTCCAGCTCGCCGTCAGGTGCATGCTGCGATATCTCTGTGTTAGGCCATCATGAAATTATCATGATTCGGACTCGGCCGAAGTGGACTGCTGTGATGGACTGTCAGGCCTACAGAACGGAGAACCTGACGCAAAGGATCATGTTTAGGCGCCTGCTACGAGCCTTCTTTTCTTCTTTCCTTCCCGCGCCATCTCTTTGACATTGTTCTCTCGACCCTGTTCCAAATCCATTGACTCGGCCAAAGCCACCGAGGTGCCAGCCATGAGGATATCACGCCGTTGCTCGCACAGTGTCTTTGATTCTCCAAGTTTCTTTCCCAGAGGACCTCAGCGGTAAATCGACGCAAGACGCACCATGTTCAGGCAGAACTGGAAAGCGCAGGAAATTCTGAGGTATCCAGAGCCATGCTTTGAGCCTCAACTGGATGATGCCCTTTGTGCCGCCGCCTACATGGCCGATACGGGCAGAGGTAGAGGCAGAGACGCAGTAATGAGGGGCGTGTTCCTAGCCGTGGTGCATCGTACAGGACCTCGTACCCAGAATAGACACCGGGTACCTTGCCGGAGTATATCGTGCAAGTCTGAGCTCTTGTGCGGTTTGATGCACTTTGGATATCTTGGGTAAGTACAGATATGCTAAAGCAAACTATTCGGGTACAATTCGGGAGCTGCTGGATAGCTCAACGAATCCGAATAGCTCCGGCAGCTGGTTCTGGTTCTGGGCCATGTCTGTGGTTCGAGGCCAACGACTGATTGCCTCGGGAGGAACGCAGAAGCGCAGAAGCTCGCATGCCTGCTAGTACCTTAAAAGTAAGCTGCTGTCGGTGCTCTGCTTCAGTTGACTGCTTGCTGCTGGAGCTCCGACCCGGGCGGTCGATCCTTGATCAATCTTAACAGCGAGATGGGCGTCTCTGCCTGACGGAGCTTGTTGATCGTTCGGCGGTTCTAAACTTCTAGTGTCGTCGTAGTCGTAGTAGTGCGCCATGCGGTGCGGTAAGGCCAGGGTTCCGGGGACCCAGGGGTGAGGGGTCGCCGTCGCGGCCGCCGCCGTGGTGGTGGTGGTGGTGGTAGTCTATGCCTTTCGCCGTCGACCGTCATTGCAGTGGGGAGAAAGCTGAAGCACCAAGGGTCTTGGATCTAGGCTGGAGCAAGACACTGAGAGGCGGCTGCAGGGCAGAGAACGGGGCTTGGCCGCCTTGAATGGTCAGAATCATCTCAAACGCTGCCGTCCCGGCCACTTGGTGTGCGACTGCGACTGCGACTGCGACTGCGGGCGAGGCCAGCCCGCTGCCGGCTGTTTGTAAGGTAAGCTATCCGTCCGCAGCTGTAGCTTTGCCAAGAATTGTTTCTGACTGACGTATGTGTGCAGAACTGGCAGAAGTAGCAGGCAGACCTGGCTGAGGTACAGATATCCTAGAGTATGGTTTGCGCGCAGCTTGGGTACTGCAGTCTGCAGACATGTGTTCGTGTGTGAAGATAAGTAGGTACGTACGGGCGTAAGAGGCTAAATGATGTATGCAATGCTATGCAGCGTGGCGGATCTGATGGATAAGTTGGAGGTCGAGGCCAGGCCGAAGAGTTGGATGATGTGATGAATGTTATGCGATGACCTGAAGAGGGCCTCGAGCAGACGGCAAGCGGCTCACAGCCCAGTCCAAGCCCGCCAAAGATGAGGGACGACAAGCGAGGGGTGGCTTTTTGGGGTGACTTGGGCCTTGGAGAGACCTCGGAGAGTGAGAGACATGGAGGGGAAGTTGAGAAAAAGGAGGGGAGGGGAGGGGGTAGACCACAGGAGGGGATTGGGGGATTGGTTCAGGGAGGGGAAGGCACCAAGAGACGAGATGAAGGCGCTTGCTTTTTTGGCCGAGCTTCTGGTTTTCAAGGCATCTGGTTTGTTGGAACCGACCTTAATTACACCAGCAGGGAAATGGTTTCTTGTTGCGACAAAATTCCGCTGATAATTGCGACCTCGTGGGCAGAAATTAAATCGGACATGAGGACCACTGAAATGTTGCTGAAGCGAGGCGGGAGAATCCATCGCGCGTGAGATTCGAGATGATGGTGGATGCGAGTAGCCGTCAAGATCGCTACCTTACTTGGTACACCAGGCATTTGTCTATCCAGAGGTACTTCTAGATGTAAGGTAGGTAGCTTTCGGGATTTCTTACTCATCAGGTACGATAACCTCGAAAGTGCTGCATTGCATCTGAAGAAGAGCTTACGGATACTGCCGGCTCCTTCCCCATGCTTCCGAGATTGAACATTTACCATCTTACCGTAAGGTAGTAAACGCTACAAGAGCTCGGCTTTACCACTCAACGTCAATGTCAAGGTCTTCGCCCACATCTACATGCAAGTCTGACGCCAACGAGAAAGAATAATGCCCGTATTCTGCACATCGAAAGGCAAGGTACGAAGCATCTGCTGGATGGCCTCGATACTGGAGCATTGTACGGATACGGGTACATCCAATATGTCCCCAACCAATACCCTCCTTCTCGGACTCCTTCCCACCACTCTGATGGTGTTCTCGGTCAAGCACGAGACGGCCCGGTCCAATCAATCGCGGGAATGACCGTCATCTTGCACTCGCGCCGACATCAGAACTTTCCAAGTTTCTTCTCCCCCACTCGCTAGAAATATTGGCAGCAAATGGAAGACGCCCAGAAAGAGGATATCACTTCTCGTTTCGTTCCAGCTATTCCCGGCCTCATACACGTATCTATTTCAGGTGAGAGACGCTGGTTTTAGCGTATCCATACATCCACTATCTCATCGTGAAGCACACCAAGACCTCTCTATTCACGATGAGCTGCGACGACGAAATATACTGTACGCTGGTAGGTACGTACCTCCAGCGGGTGCCAGTGCGGTGTGGAGTACCGCTGACCAATGTCTGAGGCGCCTGAGGTCGGGTCCACGGGTGGCTCTTGGTCCTCGCTGTTTCCATTCCACATGGGCAGCTGTGAGTGCTGGGCTGTAGGGGCCTGCCCTGGGAATTTGGATCTTGTTTCAAACCATCGGGGACTGGGACTTCCTGCTCCACACAAAGGGTCCCGGTAATGCTTCATCGCCTGGTTTTCTGACTTCATCACCGTCCAACACTCTCCCGGCATTGATTTCTTTTCTTCTCCAGCGTCCGCCCTCCAAACGCTCAAGTTCCATCGCCTGGTCGTCGACCCGGCCGAATCCCTGGAGCAGCACACACAACATCCTCTGCCCTCCCGCCCGTTATCCGTCTCCCGTCCTCGCCGGTGTCAAACTTCTCTGCTCTCGTCTCGTTCGCTGATGGCTCTCCTACAGATGACAAAAATATACCCGTACCAAATTATCCCATTACCCAGCCCGACAGCCCGACGTCCGTGCTCACCAGTTGGTGGTGCCAGTGTGCCCGCGCCTTTCACACACGCGCGGGTCATGGTTGCACCCAACGCGTCTGGTTGGAGGACACGAAACTGACCGAGGCCGGGCTACCATCGCCAGCGGAATGGACCAAAGACACTCCGTCGTCCACTAAGACCGTTACACCAGTAAAATAAGGTCCCGTTCGTTCCCGTACTAGGGTCGACGATGAGACGGGGATGCCACCAAGGAACTCTCGCCCAATGCCATCATCATTCCTCCTTTGGGTGAGGTGACCTGCCCGCCCTCGCCCCTGCCCACCCGTTTGTGTTTCCTGGCGATGGATTGCCAGGAGATGAGGCCACGCTTCCGCACCATCGGGACTGGAGATTTGGTCCAGCGTTGCCGAATATTTACGTCGTTCCCCGTTCCGGTTCTCCCTGCTTCGTACCTTGCCGTCATGGCAGCATCTCCCGCCAATTTTCCTCAATTCGGGCAAGCTCGCCTCTCGGCTGATATCCACGATGAAGCCATTCTATCCACTTCACAAGAGCCGCCGATATCACGCAATGACGCTGCTTCGGGCTATCTCAGCTTTTCGCTGAGGACGCACGCCGACGAGACAAGCGAGAGAAATCAACGAATCCAAACCACCAGGCAGGATGAGCCATGCAGGATTCCAAGGCTATCTGCCGAGTTTTACCGCCGCCATTTCCTTCCAAATGCCGTTCCCTGAAAACCCCCGCGATTTCGTCTGACAGGCGCCTCGATTCATGGATTATCCCTATCACCACACGAGCTCGAAAGCTCATAACAGCTCTTTCCGGGTACGGAAAGCTGGGCAGCGACTCATGTTCAAAGTGAAAATGATGCTTCATTTTTTCTGTTGCATTGAAAATCCTGACTGCGGCGCATGCAGCCGCTTCCTCGCTTCCGCATCACTTGGAGGGCTGCAGGGTGAAATCTTGTGCTGACTTGTATTCAGGCGTTCGTCTCCTCTCCCCGCAAAGATTCCGATGAGATATGCCCCAACGCGATAAGGTTCTGTCGACCCTAGACGAGATGGCATGGAGCCTTTGTCATCCCCAAAGTTTGCCCTTCCGAGGGGTTCAGCTCTGTGTTCAATAAAGTTGGTCTAGGGCACAAGAGAGCCAACCCAACACCTCAGCATCTTGGTCTTCGTGTTGCCCAAAGCCTCTTCTTGAATATGACGGGATTCGGTCGCATCAAGTCCCAAGGATGGGGCTGAGCTGCTGATGCGATGCTATTATGCTTGCGATTCAAAAGGTCTTGGTCTGAGACGGGACAGTGAGAGGCTGTCAGTTGCAGCCCCCCGACCACGACATGTTTCTCCCTGCTTCCCGAGTCTGGTCACGTCGCACAGCTTTGGGATGCTTGTTTGTCCCTGCGACAAGCCAGCGGTCCCCTTGCTGCTGTTCCTGCAGAATGCGATATGCCTCTCACAGGAGCCCTCCGCCCCTGCGTTGAAAGGTGGCCACTGACGCTTCGCGACGAGAAGCCGGCATGTCGCTTCTGGTTTAAATATGAGATACCATAGGTTTTCCTGTCAGCATTTTCGCCTCACAGCTGTAATCTTCAAGATTCGCCTCGCCAACTGCATTCCGCATAGAGCAGGCGACGATTGACATTGTATACGTGGAGGAGACGTCCTGCGTTGCTTTTCTGAACGAGCAATGCCGTCTGGGTCGCATCAGTCGGCGCATGTCCCTAGGGCGCGCTATGTGCCATCACATCATTTGCTTCTCAATCGCTCTAGCAGCGGCATGTTTGCTTTTCCCAAGGTGATTCCGCTCGGTTAGGTACAGGAACTAGATTCTTGGAGGCCGTCATTCATCAAGCGCCGTGCTTTCCCTGTACCACCTCAGGAGATGAGCTTGATGAGGTTACATGAACACAGACGCTTGCAACCGCGGGTTTTCCATAGATGGCTCCGGGAGCGTTTTCTTGTCATCTGCTCGCGCCCCCACAAGCCGGCGGCTTGCTCGTTTGGTCAAAGGAGCGATCCCAGCAGAAGGCCCGAGACATGATCGCAACGACGTGGTTGGCTTGTCAGTTGCTTGGGCTCTTGACTGTCCTATCGGCGCCTTCAAGAAGATTTGGTCTCTTTGGTCGTCAGTCGAACTAGTGAATATGGCAGGAATGCCATCTCCGTATTGGCGGCGCTGCTGCTGTTCCTGCCAATGCCGGCTTTGATGAAAGAATACAGCGTCTTCAATGGCAACAGTGCCGATATTAGCAGTAGTTATGGTCGCATCAGTAGAAGCAATGCAAGTGATGATGAAGTCAAACCATAATCCTCAGTGCCATTTCTCCAGATGTTATCCCGAGCAGAACGCTCCCAGCTTGGCAACTGATGTGGTCTCTCAAGATATGCCTTTGCACTTTAGCAAAGCGGACTTCAACCTGTATTGACGGTTATTGAAATGCTACGCGCCGTAGAAGACCAATGCTGGACGCTGTCCGCGAAGTTGTCAAGAGCTGCACGACTCCGCGATCCTCGCCGGCCGAAAGTCGAACTCGAGACGGGACGAACGGACCATCCCGGCCTAGTCGGACCCGGCCCGAACCCCGGACCGGCATGGAAGAGCTCCCGTCTCTTAAGATCGCCGGAGGCCAGGGAGACCAAGCAGGCGTCAAAAGCGCCGTTCGAGTCAATCCGAACCCCACGTGATCCGGGAGCAAGTGTCCGGAGCTATGCTCGTCCAATGGCATGCGTCAGGAATAGCGCGGTGCCTCCAGCAGCCAGCTCCAACGGTTGGGCTTAACAATTTAGGTTGTGGCTGAGGGACACTCGTGGAGGCTAAGGGTGGGGCTCCCCAGGTGGAGACCGGAAGCACCACTGGCAGGCGGAACCGTGAAGGATCCCTGCCAGCGCCAGAAATTCCATCCACCGACCCCAATTGAACACCATCGTGGAGTCGAGAAACTTCCACCTCACCCTTTAGCCCATCCGAGCTTCGAGTCTCATCTCGCCCGTCTACTCCCCCATCTCCTTCAACCCATCAATTGGCAGGATTTCACCCTTCTGCCACCTCCAATCCTCCCATTCTACCTCTGCTGGATTTGTTCATTGTTGCCGCAAAGGTTCACAATGTTCTAAGCCAGAAACAAGCTACTCTCCTCGGTTACTTGCTGCTCCACGGTTTTCTACGCTTCGGCCTTCTTTAATCGGAAGTCTGATTCTACTGGTCTTGTCCCCAACTGATACTTGATCGTCAGTTGTAAGTTTTTGATGTTCCGTCGCAGCAACAGCTCGCACCTGCCGTCCGACCCGACCTAACTGGCCTCTCTCCCCCTTGCAGGTACACCGAATTCGCCTATACCGCTCCTATCATCCCACCCTGTCCACGACGACCTCAGTCACCACGAACCACAATGGCCTCTACCGATTCCACCGTCGCCAACGGCGCTGAAACCTCAGCTGCCCAGAAGCTTCTCCAGACTCACGCCGACCACCACCCCACTGTCGAGGAGGTCCCCGATGAGGACCTTCCCCTGAAGTCCAGCACCGGCGATTCTGCCTCCTGGGCCGAGCCCATGTCCTCCAAGGCTGCCGGCAAGCAGAAGGAGCCCGCCGCCGCCGGAAAGAAGCTCGACACCCACTCCCACGAGCTCTTCCCCGAGCTCGGCGCCTCCAAGCCCAAGGGCAGCCCCAACGTCGCCCCCATCTGGGGAGCCAAGAGCAATGTCTCTACCCCCGCCAACGGTCTCTCCCGCTCCTCCACTCCTGCCTCTGGAGGCGGCGCAACCCCCAAGAACGGTCCCCCCTCGATGTCGATTCCCGGTCGCAACGTCGAGACGGTTGTTCTCGAGCCCCAGTACATCCTGAACCGCACCCAGCTGAGGCGCCCCATCCCCGACATCATCAAGGAAATCAACCGCAAGTCGCGCGCCAACATCACCTTGTCTACCGCTACCAACGGTCGTCTCAAGTTCGATGCGACAGGTCCTCAGGAGGTAGCTCAACAGGCCCTCAAGGACCTTGTCCAGCAGATCGGCACGAAGGTTAGTGACAGCAACGACGCCCTTCCTGCTTGCTTCAAGGCTGACAATTTCTTCCACAGAACACCATCAAGGTCCCGATCCCTCAGTCCGCTCGCGCCCACATCATCGGAAAGGGAGGTTCCACCATCAAGGCTATCCAGGAGAAGTCCGGTGCCCGAGTCCAGCTCCCCAAGGTTGAGGATAATGCCCCTATCGACGAGGACGACGACTCCACCATTGATGTCATTGTTGAGGGTAACGCCATCTCAGCTGCCTCTGCTCGCGACCAGATCATGAAGATTGCTGGCGACCGTGCTGCCAACGTCAACACCAAGCTTCGTGGTATTCCGGCCGAGTTCTACCCCTTCATCTCTGGACCCAGCAACTCCCATGTCAGCCGCTACGAGAACGATGGTGTCCAGGTCCGCGTTCCTCCTCACCAGATTTGGGCTCCTCGCGGCCGTAACATGGCTGTGAACGAGGGTGAGCGCCCTGTCTTTGTTCCTGCTGGTGACAACCACATTCAGCTGGCTGGTGACCGTGCTGCTGTTCAGGCTGCGCGTGCAGAGATTGAGCGCCGTGTCCAGGAGCTGCAGCAGCAGCTTGCTGTTGACCAGTTCACTCTCCAGAAGGGTCGCCACCAGTTCATTGCCGGCCGTCGTGGTGAAACCCTCGATGAGTTCTTCAATGAGACTGGCTGCACCATCCTGCTGCCCACTGATGAGGACGATGACTCTGTCACTGTCATCGGCCCTGCTTCTCAGATTGGCAAGGGTGTTGAGACTGCTATGGACAGAGCCATGAACATGCAGTTCTCCACCTTCGACATTGGCCGTTTCCACAAGAATGCCCCTGGTGGTGTTTCTACCCATGCTCGCAACGTCACTCGTTTCCTTAGACATCGCGACTTGTTTGACGAGATCGAGAGAGCCCACAGCACCCACATCAACACTCCTTTCGGCCCCAACGGCGCGTCCCCCTATGAGTTGTACGCCCGCGACGGCAAGAATGTTCTCCAGGCTCAATCCGCTATTGAGAAGCTTGTCCACGCCATCCCGCCTGCCAGAATCGTCCCCATCCCCGTCGACCCCTTCTACCACCAGTACCTCAACAAGGACGTCAGCCCCCGCATGAGGGACAATCACGGTGTCCACGTTGTTCTGCCCGAGGCTGGCGAGGCCGACGCCCCTGTTCTTCTAGTCTTCGAGGGTCCTTCTGCCCCTGAGCCCAAGCCCCAGATCAAGACTGGCCGCCCGACCCAGGATGAGGTTCGTGCCTTCCAGGAGAGCCTTGAGAATGCCCGCAAGCAGATTCTCGACATCATCAACAAGCAGGAGCAGATCTCCTCTGCCTCTATTGATGTGCCCCAGAAGTAAGACCTACTAAAGCTACTGCGCCTACGAGATACTAACTTCTACAGGTTCCACGAGCGTCTTCGCCGCTTCATCAAGAAGGAGCAGGTCAACCGCAGCGATGACCAGATCCCCATCCGTGTCTCCTCCGTCGGCACTGTTGTCACTCTCCGCGGCCCTGCTTCCGCCGTCAAGAACCTCGAGGCCAAGGTCAAGGCCTTTGTCGAGCAGGAGAAGGAGGACGAGAAGGAGCGTGGTTTCACCATGTCCTTTGACTTCCCCCAGAAGTACGCCAACCACCTCATCGGCAAGGGCGGCTCCAACATTAGAGAGCTTCGCGACCGCTTCGACGTCGAGATCCAGGTTCAGGATGGCAAGGTTGAGCTGAAGGGTCCCAAGGCCAAGGCCGAGGCTGCCAAGGCTCACATTAGCTCTCTGGGCCGCACTCTCGCCGACGAGGTCACTCACATTCTCAAGGTCGACCCCAAGTTCCACAGAGAGCTCATCGGCTCGGGAGGAAGCGTCACCAACCGCTTGCAGCAGAAGTACAAGGTGTTGATTTTCTTCCCGCGCTCCGGTAAGAGCCTCAAGGACGAGGAGGGCGCCGACGACGCTGCCAGTGATGCTGGCAAGCCCAAGCGCCAGCAGGCTCCCGACGAGGTCATTGTCCGCGGTCCCAAGAAGGGAGCGGATGAGGCTCGCGACGAGATCCTCTCCCTCCTCCAGTACCTGAAGGACACTTCTTTCACGGCGGCCATCTCTGTTCAGCAGAAGCAGGTCCCGTCCATCATTGGCCAGGGTGGTGCTGCGCTTGACGAGCTGCGCCAGGTTACCGGTGCCAAGATCGACATTCCTAGCGGACGTGATGCCGAGACTGTCGAGATCCAGATTAAGGGCACTAAGTCTCAGGTTGCCGCTGCAAAGAAGGCTCTCGAGGAGAAGAGAGACGTGTTCAACGACACTGTTGTGAAGACCATCGAGGTGGATAAGAAGCACCACAAGTCTCTCATCGGTGCTGGAGGTTAGTTGTCTGCAATCCGGATATTGTGACCATGAGCTAACATAAGATAGGTGCCACCCTCCGTGACATTGTTGTCAAGGCCGGCGGCTCTGACGACCGTCGCGAGCTGGCCCGTACCATTCAGTTCCCCAAGGCGGAGGCTGATGGTAACACCATCAAGGTTGAGGGTCGCTCGGACGTCATCAACAAGATCATTGCCAGAATCGAGGAGATTGTCGCTGAGAAGGAGAGCCAGGTCACCGAGATTCTGGAGGTTCCTATTGAGAAGCACAGAACCCTCATTGGCCGCGGCGGAGAGGCCAAGCGACAGCTTGAGTCCCAGCTCACCGTCTCCATCGACATTCCCCGCCAGGGTGACGGCAAGACTGGTGTCAAGATCACCGGTCGCCCCGAGAACGTTGAGAAGGCCAAGGAGCACATCGCTTCGCTCGTCAAGGAGCAGGAGGGCGAGACTCTGCAGGTTCCCCGCGGTCTGCACCACTCCATCTCCAACAACGGCCAGTTCTTCCGCCAGCTTCGCAACAACCACCACGTCTCGGTTGACCACGCTGGCGCTGCTCTTCCCCCCAAGCCCACCGCCGGCGCTAGCCGCAGCAACGGTGGTGCCTTGCCTCTGATCACCGACGACGACGATGCCGCTGCCGACGTCCACTCCTGGAAGGTTGTGGACACTGCTTCTGGTGAGGAGGGTGAGATTCCTTGGGTCCTCCGCGGTTCTCCCGAGAGCATCGAGAAGGCCAAGACCGCCATCGCCGCCGCCATTGAGCAGGCACGCAAGAACACTCACACCGGGTACCTCGTCCTGCCCGACCCCAAGACCTACCGCTACGTCATCGGCCAGGGTGGTAGCAAGGTCAACTCGATCCGCAAGCAGAGCGGTTGCAAGATCAACGTCCCCCGTAACGACGACAAGGAGGACGCCATCGAGGTCATTGGTACCGCTGACGGCGTCGAGAAGGCCAAGGACTTGATCTTGGCTGCTGTGCAGGAGGGTCTCAGCTCCCGTGCTCCCCGCGACTAGAACTCCGGGAGCAAACCTCGTACACCAGAACCAGAGCCGGTCGAACAGAGCGGGTTCAGGGAGCAGGTGCAAGCCCTCGTAATCAACTGGGCCGACTTACCTCGAGTCGACGTCCCGCAGCCGTCGAATCAGTGGTAGGAGATTGTTGTTTGAGTAGTTGAGATGGGGAGCTACTCTGGTATTCAAAACGCCCGGACGAATAGCGATGTTTCGGGCAAACACTTGACACATATAGTACAAAATGGAATAAATACTGGATTGATCTGACTTGACGCTCCATACGGATGTATCTGATGATGTGATTGATTGATATCAGGGGTGACATAAGACTGTGAAGCCCGTAAATGGAAGCGAGTGTTGAGATGTATCACTGAAGCACTCCATATGTTTTCTTGTCGCTTTTGCTAGCCGCTCTTCTGTCCCTCCTGGGTTCCCGTATTATACTATCGAGTACGTCAATCTTCTGACTGTCGTTGTCGTATCCTCACTTTGGCTCTGTGTGCTGGGCTGACTTCGCGGACTACTTTCTCCGTCAGAACTACCAAATCTCCAATGATCCTGCGTGGCGTAGGTGTATCTCTCAAGACGTTGGCTATGATGTATTCAACGCAACAGGATGGAAAAACACTGCCGATGTCCATTTCGACGCGGATTACTCTTTGCTCTACGTTTTTCCATTCGTGTCCGGTCCTAAGAGCAGTCTGTGGTGACATTCTCTCACTGATCATGTATGCCCCTCCCTCTCGCACTCACGTTGTTAGTACTCCCACGCGACAGTCATGAATCAGCGGGGTGTGCCTCCGGATGCAGGACTTGAGGTTCCCCGACTTGGGGCGGACGAATGTTGACCAGCGAGTCGGTCTTGGAGACGGCGGCGTGGTGTGCAGATTCTTGACCGAGAATTCGACAACAGAGTATCCTTGGTGGTGGGATGAGGGATGGGAAACCCCCACGCCTCGCCACGGTATCCCAGCCAGGTGGGATCAGAGACGGGGGAGGTCCCTGGCGTTGTACGGGCTTCTAGAAGCGTCAAACAGCGTTCCGTCCATGCGACGGAGTGAATTTTCGTTGGGCTAGATCGTTGCTTGTTGACTCGTGTATGCTTTCAGACGCAGTCGTCTAGATAGCTTGTAACATCGCTTCAAATCAACGGTAGTTTAAGGACGTTATTGCTCCGACGCAATCTTCTCGTGATCGAGCTGCCGTTGATGATGATGATTGTTAGTGATGGCAAATGCGGTTTCTCAAAACGACATGCTTCCGAGAGGTGAGAGGTTTTGAAACCTGTTGTACGAAGGCTGTGATATTACCGTCACCAACACCCCGTCTTTCGAAGCCCTGACTATGCCCATAATTGGCGACCGACGTCGCCGACAGTCGCGGTATTCCATTTGTAGTTCACAGAACTAGAATTTTGACATGCATAAACGCCACGGTAGAGTTGGATGTGGCGGAGGAAGGCGTTACCTAACAGTCTTCGTTGTCCTCCAATAATTCGCGCCTTCGAAATATCCAACGGAGATAGATTCCGCTGATGGTGACAGTGCTGACCACAGAGGCCTAAGCTATCTGCGACTATCATGAGGGATCAACAACAAGACAGCACGAAGACGACCAACGTGTAAATGAGCTGTACAGAACAGTTCCGAGAGCTCAGAGAAAACAGCTACTACCTCGGTGGATTTGCAGTTCTGAATTCTCATGACGACCAGTCGTCTACATGACCCAGATTGGCCATAGCTTTAGGATGTAGCGCCTTCTTGTCATAGTCTCTTTGAGCGAAGCCAGAGCAAGAGCATCAAGTCTTGTGTAGAGTTGACCATTTCTTGCGCACGAAGGAGCTGTGGAGATGAAACGGGCAGCCTCCTAGCCGGGAGAGTCGTCGTGACGGTCCAGAGACGCGATGTTGGGTAGAAGGGGGCGGATCCGTACGATGTTTCGACGCTAGAATTGTGCCCAGACGCGGAGGCGAAGGCGGCAGGTCGATGCTAGGTCACGACGAAGTACGGCAAGCCCAGCCCTGTGCTTCGGGACCTCAGACTCCCGTCGACGGACGGGTTTTGTGGGGTCTGGAACATGCATGCTCGCAGGGTTGCATTGCAGCGAAGAAATGTTGGAAGGAAAGTCGAAGGTCTCGTGGAAAAAGAGGAGACCCTACCCCGTCAGGGACCGGTGAACAAAATGGACACGTCTTCGATAACCCCTGAGTTGCCAGACTATTCCTATCTGGCATCATCGTGCCACGGACAGAGCTCGTCGTAGCTCTTGGTAGGTTTGGTTGGATGAAGAGAGGGCGGGTTCCGTTCCGTTGATTGCTGATTTGCGTGTGTAATGGGATTTAGTTGGAGACTTTCCATGATCCGCACCGCCTTGACACGTTTCATTGCCCTACGTTCTGTTCATCTGGATGGGCGGTGACTGACAATCGTGCTGCCTGCCGTTAAGTTGAATAGTCTGGCGGGGTGGTGGACTTGGGGGGTTCCGCACCATTGTCCTCGTCCATGATGAAAGACCTCGATGTGCGAACCTGCTATTGCTGTTAGTTGAGGTTCTTGCGAGGAAATGTTTGGAAAAGGGCCAACTGTTCGCGGTCCTCGAAATCCATGAAAATTCCAAGACTGGGATGTTAGCTTATGAGAATGTTTGTCAATTTGGAAAGGAAAGGTCTGTGCTGCAGCTCCCCTGTCAAATTTGCCCAACTTCCATTTTAAGGTGGTCCCCCATTCGCCCTAGGACTTGGGGCGTTGAGTGCCTGCATCGTGAAGGATTGCGGAAGCTCTAGCTTCAGAACGGGGCAGTTTGGGGAAACGGGGAACGGCCACTTGGGACGGCCAGGGATGCCAGCACGAGAGCTTCAAAAATGGGTTTGTTGAATGACGAAGTTGAGCCTCCAAAAAGAACCACAAAAAAAGAACCACAACCACTGCTCTTCCCAAATATCGTGAACTTTTGAAGTGAGGTAGGTGCAACCCACCCTAAAAACGCAGGAACGAGCAGCTGCCCCCACGGTTCTTGCCAGACCGGAACTTCTCCTTGCTTCTTCGACTGCAAAATCAATTTCTAAGGCTTTGACAGAAGAAATGCAACAACAAATCCGGCACCTCACTGCGCACCTTGCTGATGCGGCTCCCCATGCATGTCTGAGCCAAGTCGGCCAACGCAAATCCTAGGAAAAATATTTTCCTGTCATCTGACCGATTTCAATAAAAGACACCCTGGGCAACATCATCTCACTGCCGTCGCAGCATGCCACCATCAGAGCTTAGCTTCCCGGCACACGTTTCCAGTGTACACGAGCTGCTCGGCGAGGCGCAGCTACCCAGCTCCGTCTATTCGAACGGTCTCTCAAGCGTCCACGATGAGCTCCGCCGACAAGGGACGGGGAGCGTCTCCTTTCTCCACGCTACACCGTCGCTTGCAACCGTCCCTCGAACCGGGAACAGGAACCGCACCCGCGGCGCTCAGTCTCTCCTACCTACTATGGTAGTGTCAGGAGTCAGAATCATCCTCATGTTGGGTACTACGAACGACACACACCGACTAAGCTGGGGGCAAACCACTACCATTTCTCTGTTGTCTCGAAAGCATTCCTACCTCTTGCCTCGGGCATCTGGACTCGAATTCCCCCGCAAAGCTGCTGGCCGACGACCGAATACCCCGGACTTGTCCCTCCAGAGACCAGCGACCTTGGCTTCGGATAGAAGAATTCGGGAACACCAGAGGACAAGTCTCCCCCACACTCAAAACATTGTGACAATCCATCAGAGACTGGGGTCTGAGGGCCTCCCTGTCAACCCCTGCGCCGGCGCATGCCGACAGTGCCACGAGCGCTCGAGCTGCAAGAGGAATCAGTCCCTAGAACCAAATTTAGGACCATCCTCCGCCAGGACCAGACCGCTGGCTCGAACCAGGTATTCTGTGCTGGCTGTCTAAGGAAAACCTCGACATGCAAATTCAGACCGGCCTGGAAGTTCTCGGGTTTCAAAACGATCAAATCCGTCCAGGCAAACCGATAAATAACAAACACAATCGAGGTCGCAGTCGACTCGGAGATAATTCCAAAATGCCTGATGGCCCAGGAGAAAGAGCTACCCCTGTTCAAATGTCGTCGGTTGGCTAGGGAAAGAAGCAACGCAACACCGTCGGACAGTTGTCCGTCCCACGTTTTCTCGTTCCTGGACGAGACGTGTTGTCGAAGCACTCAGTTCCTGGCAAGTCACGAATATAGGGCCGTGTGAGACGCGGTAGCCATGTGCCTAGCAACTATCCCGCACCGCAGTGCTTCGGTCGTCGCTCAGCTCGTCCAGCAAGGTGGAACGCGACAATCCCAGTTTATAACCGAACCTGAGCTACGATACTGAGCTTTTCTCAATTTCTTGGGCTCACTACCCAGCGAGAGAGTATTGACAACTACGGATACAACAGATAACAGAGAACCGCAGTCAGAGCAGTCTGTTCCGGCTGGCTTTCCAGGGTCTTGGCCAAAACGCACCGTTTCAGCGGTCTCGGTGTACGAAACGGACTTTTGAGTGCTAAAAAAAAGAGCACCCCAGTATGGACCGTGAACAACGAAATTACACACGCCTCATCTGAGTTCTCCATATCCCGTCATGTTTAATCAGCTGCAATGCTGCATCTCCTACGCTACCGACTTTGCTTGAGCGAAGTCGGAGAAGATGCTTCGAATCTGAGACCTGTGCAAGGCCGCATACATCTCAGACAGATAGGCGAACCGACGTTAGTGTCTTCTCCATGCATCGAGCTCGCCGGACGGTTCGGACGTGCCTTGCAGCAGCTGTCTAAAGCACCTACAAGCCGCGGCGAAACCTTTTGCACCAAAGTTCACAGTAAACGTGGGCGATGAAATCGCCAGTTACTGGAGATGGAAAAGAAGACGACTTCTAGAAGCCAGTTCGGTTGGCGTCAACGCTTACCTGCACTGGCCAGCCTTACCGCTCAGACGGTGGTGCCCTTGAGAAGTTAAATCTCATCCATCCACA